AAAAGGTCAACCTGTGCTGTGATGACATCCTGCCTGATGGCTATCCACACTTCCCTTCCCCTTCAACTCTGAGTTCCTTCCTGCCTAGAGGAAAGGCCACACAGATAGCCACATAGATAGTAAGTGCTCAATTAGGACTGGAGGGGGCGGGGCCAGTGTGGTGATACAGTGGGTTAAGCAACTACTTGCTACTGACATCCCAATCTGAGTCCTGGCTGCGCCACTTCCTTTCCAGCCCTCTGCTAATGCACCGGGAAGGGAGCAGATGATGGTCCTAGTCTGTGGGCCCCTGCCACTCATGTCGGAGACCCAGATGGAGCTCCAGGCTTCTGGCTGCAGCCTGGCCCAGCTCTGGTTGTTGCAGGCACTTGGAGGGTGAACCAGCGGATGGAAGATTTCTCTCTGTCCCTCTTCTCATTCTGTCACTATGCCTTTCCAGGGGCGGAGATGACACTGTTGGGGGCAGAACAGGCTTCATCTTGGGGAGCATGAGCTGGTAATGGACCCAAGGCTCAACATTGTGCAGATGTTGAGATGGCGGGCTTTCTCAAGGGAGGCCTGAGCGTCTCTTAACAACAGCTGCCTTGTGCTGCACAGCCAGACAGAGAAACTTCACAACGCAACTGTGCCACAGGAGGGCCATGTGAGCGGCAGTAAGCACGACCCCAGGTGGGGACAACAGACACCAAACGCTTTCCTGCTGGCACCGTGCCTGCACAGCACACACCAGGAGAGGAGGGACCAGCCCACCTAAAGAAAAAGGCAGCAGCCAGGTGAACTGAAAACTGGCGGCCTGCCTGGGGGTCTTGCCTTAGTCTTCCCACCCCATGGGACGCTGAGCCTGTGCCCAAGAGAAGAGGGAGATTGACAGGTCAACAAACCCGCAGAGTGACAGGGCTGGGATTGCATTCAGGTCTGTCTGGCCCCAGAGCCTTTTCTAGCAGGCCACCCTGCCAGGCCCCTTCTTCCATCTGCCTGGAGGCAACTCTGGAAACTCTACTGGGTGCATTTAGGACCCGCTCAGCCCCCATGACGCACTGCAAGGCTGGTAGGGGTGGGAGTCTGAGGGCAGACCCCCAGCATCCTGCCTCTCCTGCCTGGGGGCCCCTCCTGCACTCCCTGGTGCACACCCCAACCTGGCATGCTCACCACCCTCTCTAGCATCACAGGGGCTGGAGAAGAGCAGTCAACACACAGTGAAGCAGCGTGACCCTCGTCGGTTCCCTGGCAGGCCAGCCCCATGCCAGAGCTGAGCACCCACTGTCTAATGGCCGGGTGAGCCAGCACACCTGGATCAAGATGTAGCAGTGATGGCCGGCACCGTGGTTCAATAGGCTAATCCTCCGCCTTGTGGTGCTGGCACAGAGGGTTCTAGTCCTGGTCGGGGTGCCGGGTTCTGTCCCGGTTGCCCCTCTTCCAGGCCAGCTCTCTGCTGTGGCCAGGGAGTGCAGCGGAGGATGGCCCAAGTGCTTGGGTCTGCACCCCATGAGAGACCAGGAGAAGCAACTGGCTCCTGGCTTCGGATCAGCGTGGTGCGCCAGCCGCAGTGCACCGGCCGCGGTGGCCATTGGAGGGTGAACCAACGGTAAAGGAAGACCTGTCTCTCTCTCTCTCACTGTCCACTCTGCCTGTCAAAAAAAAAAAAAAAAAAAAAAAGATGTAGCAGTGAGTTGAAGGTCAGGGAACCAGCCCCAGAGGCCAGACCAGAGCAAAGGACACCAGTTCTCTTCTAAGCCCTAACCACCCTCACTCACTTCTCTGCTTCTGGTGAAAGGACCCGGATGCAACCAAGCCCACTTCTGTGATCATACAGTGACTCTACTAACCCTGGTTTCTGAGGGGCTGAATGGCAAGGACTGGGGTGGGGGATGGGCTCAGCTTGTGCCTGACCTACAGCCCCTTCAGCTTGCCCTCACCCTGCAGGGGGACGCTGACCTCATCGGCTCTTGTCTAGCTGCGGGACCAGCACCAGGTCATCTCTGAGGAAGGATCCCACATGGGCAGCTCAAGCCTGCCGTGCCTCAGAGCCCTTGGCACCTGCGATGGTGGCACACAGGAGGGGAACATCTGCGTAGGTAATGAATGAATGAACATATCAGTCAAGAGGAGGCAAGAGCTTTCACAAATAGATACATTTACTTCATTAGTTCTTAGTCACATACACATAATTATATTTGAGTCCCCTGAAGTCACAAAATTGCAAGGACACAAACATACGCAAGCTCCTCCCTGCAGCAGAGCGCCCTGGGAACACCCACGTCCCTGGGTAGCTTCAGTCTGCATCCTCCAGCTGCTCCACACACTCTGGCTGGTTCTCCCTGGACTGCCCTCCTCTCCTCCCAGCTTCCATCTATCCACGATGGTGGCCTAACAGAGAAGAGCCACTGAAGGTAGACTGCAGGTTTCTGCGAAGCCCGGCCACACCAAGGTGCACTGTAGCTGCTCTGCTGCCCTCTCGTGCTACGCACAGTGTGCACACCTCACCCCATCACAGACCCTGCACACTCCTGAAGGCGAAGGCCAGAGCCCCCACTTCTTTGGGCATGGTCAGCCAGTACGAGGTGGACTTCTGGGTAGGGCACACCTGCGAGGGCTCAGGGACCACAGGCAGGAACAGGACAAGCTACAGTGGAGGTATGCAGGGCGCCAGGGCAGCAGAGGAGGGAGCGGCTGGGACAGCTTCCTGGGAGGGGACATCACCGGCACCACTGGGGGCCATACCCCTGGTGAGGCACTTCAGCTTCATCTGCCCTCATTCCCACAAGGCAGGCAGGAAACAGAGCTGGAAGGCCACATGATAGGCCACATGAAAAGCCACGGAGCTGGGATTCAAATCCAGATCTGTCTGGTTCTGACACCCATCCTGTTCCCACTGCGTGGGCGGCTATGCAAGGGGATGTCTGCTCTGGGACTCCAAGAAAGGTAGAGTGACCGCCAGAACAAATGAATCACTTTCAGAGCAAAGTAGAAGAGCAGGAAGACAAAAATGAAGAACACACAGAAGAAACAGAAGAAAACCACGTTCTCCCCAAACCTCGCATCATGAGCAGCCGGGATGGCAAACATAAAGGATGCTGGCAACATGACTGCGCCGGAGAGCCTGGGGCACTGGCAGTGTGTCACACCTGCTTTCTGGTTCTCCCAGCCAACCAGGCTGGTGAATGTTCCAGAATGGTGGCTGCTGATTGGTTCCAGGAGAAGAGAGGTCTCTCAGTTTCAAGTGGCTTTGCGACAGCTTTCCTTGCAGGGCCCCGGGTTCTCAGTTTTGCTTTTTATACTGCAAGAAGAGAGAGGAGAAGGTGGTGAGGCAAGCCAGCCGGGGAGGGAGCACTGCACAGTCGAGGCCTTGCCTGGCTCCTGCAGGGCGTCCTGGAGGTGGTGAGACCCAGCCAGGAGGCACTAGACCTCTTTTTTTTTTTTTTTTTTTTTTTTTTTTTGACAGGCAGAGTGGACAGTGAGAGAGAGAGACAGAGAAAGGTTTTCCTTTTGCCGTTGGTTCACCCTCCAATGGCCGCCTGATCCGATGGCAGGAGCCAGGTACTTATCCTGGTCTCCCATGGGGTGCAGGGCCCAAGTACTCGGACCATCCTC